CCGAATTCCAGCTTGCTCATTTCCTGCCCATCCAAGCCGTATTCAAACCCAATCCGGACACACCACTAGGCCTCAAAACCAGGGTTGTCAAGGATGCAAGTGCGAGACAGTCAAATCTTGCAGGGTTGAACGATGGGCTGCATCAAGGGCTGAACCTCCTTCCGGATATAATCAAAGTTATATTCAACTACAGGAAGTATCGATTCGCCCTGACAGCGGACATTGAAAAGGCATTCCAGCAATTCAAGATCGCGGAAGATGACCGTACCTTCCTACGATTTCTATGGCCCTCGGGGATAAGCTCAAACCCCGAAGCAAGAATCCAGGAATACTGGGCGAAAAGGCTGAATTTCGGTCTGGTCTGCTCGCCATACCTCCATTGCCAAGGCCTGAGATGTCACCTGGAAAGCTGCCAACAGAAATACCCAAGAGACGCGAAGTTCATCCAGGAAATCATGGAATATTTCTATATGGACGATGTAACCCTGGGAGGTGAAACAATCCAGGAAGCAAAATACAGGATAAGGAGGACGTTCGAGATATTCGAAGAAGGACATTTCCCCCTCAAGAAATGGTCTTCGAATTCCCAACAACTCGGTGAATTCATAAAAAGATATTCACCGGTCCCGGACCCAATCGTAACGACGGATGGAACGAATGCCAAATTCCTAGGTATTCCATGGAATCAAATCACGGACAAATTATCCGTTCCAACAACCAAAGCCCTGGCAACACTCACCGCCGGCGAACCAACAAAAAGAAAACTCTTGAAAGGTTTGGCCATGATATTCGATCCCATCGGCATAATCGCTCCTCTGCTCATCAACGCGAAAGTCCTACTCCAATCAACCCGGAAAAATAAGCTCGGCTGGGACTCTACATTAAGAGGCGAACAGGCGGAGCGATATGAAAATTTCATCAGATTATTAGAGGGAGCAAACCAACTATAAATCCCTCGACACATGTTCAGACCGTCCACCGATGCCACGATACGCTCTCTCCACATATTCTGCGACGCATCTCTCTCAGCGTACGGATGTGTCGCGTACCTAAGAGAACAACCGAAAGTCGGAGATCCACACATCTCATTCATCTTGGCAAGAGCGAGAGTAGCGCCAGTCAAGGCGATGACAATCCACCGCCTCGAATTACTGGCGGCTCTCATCGGAGCAAAGATGTCTAAATCCATCGTCAACTTCTCGAGCTCGGCTCATATCCAGACACATTTCTATTCCGACAATTCGAGCGTGATCGGCTGGATTCGCTCGAAGCCAGAGAAATTCAAGCCGTTCGTCGCGAATAGAGTGAGACGGATACAAAGTCTAGTGAATCATGCCCACTTCAACTACGTTAGGAGCCTAGAGAATCCCGCCGACATAATATCACGGGGATACGACATAGCAGACCTCAAAGCGCGGGAGCTATGGTTCTCAGGACCTACGTGGTTGAAGCTACGAGACCATGAGCTCCAGCACAAAATACGGAGCGAAAACGCATCACTGTCTCCGAAAAACAATGGCACAGACGGCGAATGCCGACCGAACATCGCGGTATGCATGTCGCTGAAATCGGACCACTCCGAGAAGAATCCAACGATATTTTTCGAAAACTCTTTTTCAACTTGGCCACGGGCAATCCGTTTTTGGAGCCTCATGCTCAGACTCAGAAAAAGAGAAAAAAAGGAAAGAAAAAGCAAGGCTGGCTAGAGAACGGGTAAAAAGAAAAAATACGGCAATACCCCAGAAGAAAAAATTCAATCAGATAGACCCTGAAGAAATGATCACAGCGAGAATCAGTCTCATTAAATCAATCCAGGCGACATACTTCAAGGAGGAATTACGCACGCGGTGCGAAAACCTGAAAAAGTCGAGCGTCCTTTTCAAATATTCTCCTAGAATAAATAATCAAAATCTGATTACGAGCAAAGCAAGACTCGTCGCGGCGACCGACCTCACTTCAGAACAGGTCGAACCAATCATCCTCCCATACAACTGCGAACTATCGTTCCTCATACTCAGGGATATTCACGAAAACGATTGTCTACATACGGGAGGAGTGAATGCTATCTTGCACAGCCTCCGGAAACACGCTCGGCGAGCAGCCAGAAGAACAATACAGAATTGCCAAGTATGCAAAATCTTCCACGGCAAAGCCGCACAATTTCCGACAGCGGACCTACCGAGATTTCGCATAGAAAGATCACCTCCGTTCTTCCACACAGGCTGTGACTTCTGCGGGCCGGTGAGATACAGGAAAGAATCCGGAGAGATAGCAAAGGGATACATATTACTGCTAACTTGCGCGGTTACGAGAGCAGTCTGTCTTCAACTGACCACCAATCTCTCAACCGCGGAAGTACTCGGAGCCCTCCAAAAGTTCGTCAACAGATACCCCAACGTCAAACACATAATCAGCGACAACGGTGCATCGTTTGTGCGAGCAGCCAATGAGCTCGAACTCCTATGCGAACACATAAGGGACGGAGAGGTCAAGAGATGGTTAGGAGAATCATTCATCGAGTGGACATTCACACCACCAGCGAGCCCTTGGTTCGGGGGTTTCTTCGAGAGACAAGTACAGACGGTGAAAAGACCTCTCAGAAAGATCCTCGGGACGAACATCCCTCATTTCCGAGACCTGGAAGTAATACTCTCGGGGAAAGAAGCTATGGTCAATCGCAGACCGATTACCATGGTCGCCACGGGCACAGACGACTCAGAGGCACTGAGCCCATCCGATCTTCTACATGGTTACAAGAGTACGACGGTATTTCCCCAACACTCTCTCAAACCGCTGAGAGCGGAAGATACAGACAAAATAATCTTCTCCAGACGCTGGGCATACCAACAAAAAATCTTGAACTCCTATTGGAAAAGATTCCAGCAAGAATACCTGCAGTATCTCCGAACGGCCCACAACCGTCTTCCAATCGAGTCACGACCCCTGAAAATAGGAGATATCTGCCTCGTGGAGGATACAATCAACAATCGAGCAATGTGGCCGCTCTGTCGAGTCATAGCTTTCCCGGAAAACACCACACCGGAGAACGCACGTTCCTGCACCATCAAGACCGCTAAAGGACAAACTTTCGTCAGACCCATCAAGAAATTATACCCTATTGTATCCCAACCCTGGAGCTAGACAAATGACGATCAGAATAGAGAAAGTAAAGCCCGGGGCAGGTTTATTCCTGGGGTTCAATACGGGAGAAGATCCGCTCTCGGATCCCCTCATGAGTCGGAACCGAGGCGCCGGGGTCCAGCGCCTGGAGTCGCCGGTACCCGCGGTGACACCGACGGGCGAGAGCTTCCACGCAGCCCTGCACGGTGGGGGCCGGCTCCGGGAGCGGCATCTCCCCCCGTGGAGTTCCGGCAGGGACGGTCATGGCCCGGGGCCATTTGTTCGCCGCGAGGCGCAACAGGTACATGTAGTCCCCGGCGTGCCACGCGGAGGGGACGATGTATGTCCATAAAAAATCAAAATTGAGTCAACGCAACAAAGAGTTAAGTCTAAAGACCACATGGTGGTAAGAGAAAAGTGCAAGACCTGAACATCACTTACTTGAGCACCCGAGGCGCGGGAGGTACGTTGAGTGAGCCGGGCGGGCGACCCGGTACTCGCCCGCGACAAACGCGGGAAGCCGCCCGAAAGGGGGCCCGCTCTTCCTCCGTGAGGCCAAGCCAGGCGAGTTTGACCTAAGCAGTGGCATCACAACGGAGCCACTCTCGGAGCTCCGGCTCGATCTCTTCAAGAGCCTCCAAGTAGAGGCCCATGGGGGATGTATTCCAATCGCGCAAAGATGTATTCATCACAAGGGTTGAGAATGTGCTCAAGGCAGAGACAGGAGCAGAAGTGAAAGAACGCGCTCGAGATCGCCTCTCGGAGAGCAGAAGCAAGAGGGAGAGAGGG